ATACATGAAGTATAAACCCTTTCAAGCAAAGACCAAGATTTTCTGCAAGCATCAGACTAAATGCAGATGTTATCTTCATATGAAAAAAAAAATACTTAATCACACATATGACTGTTTACTGTAAAGATAGTATTTGCATCTCTGCTGTTTCCAAACTGTTTCTATAACATGACATTTTTAAGACTGACTGGTCAAAGACCTGTCAGGAGTGACTTCTAAGGCTTGGAAGTGGACAAGATAATCTTTGACAACTCTTCCTCCCTTACATTCTGCAATTCTATTAAAAAGCTTTGATGCACTAACAAACATTCAGCAACTCTTAAAAAATTATACATTCAAAACAGTTCTTGTACTGTCACTTTATTCTCCAAAGTTAAATAGTATAAATTTTAACAGGTTCCTTTCTTTTAATCACACCAACATTTTTAAAATTTAGGCATAAGTTCTAGTACCTGCTACTTAATTAGCAGAACAGAATGGTGTTACAATGGAGTGAAAGGTGGAAGAATTAGAAAACAATTTGTGGAAGTCTTCATGACATTCCTGAGTCCTCGCTCATTTCCAAAGGATATGTATGCAGCAGTGCATGGTCATGATCGTCCACATTTTTATTTTATAAAAATTTAACAAGTTTTAGTGATAATTTTAACAAAAATATTTTAATGTTCTATATTGACTCTATTTCTGAAATATTAATAACCTGTTGCATGCCAAGTGTTTTAAACCCAAGCATACTCATTGCTTTAACTAACACCAAAACAACTGCTGCACACAGACACAGTTTTAAGAAAGAAAATCTTTTATGCACTGAATGGCACAAAATCTATTTCTAAACACAAAGGAAATTAAAATGAACATTAATCCAATCTTTATGTCTTTTTCTGAGTTAACAAAAAAAACTTGATTAATTCAAATCGAATTGCTAATTAAGTACTACTTTGCAATGCATGTGGTGATGCTTAGAAACTGACACGATTATTAGCACAACAATTGCCAGCAGAGCAGAACTGAATTTGGACATGGAGAAAAATGACTGGGTGAAAAAACAGTTAAATTATGTTGTGTTTCTTGGTCCTTCATATAGCTATGATCCTCAAAAATACAAAATACAATCAACTCATACTCATCTCGATGTGGAGTATGAAGGTTTATGTCAGAGATAAAGGTCAGGAAACTGCATCAGCTATTTCAGGTTTGGTCAGGTTCTTTAGTTTAAATTTAGTCATTTACATATAGTTTGAAAATAGCTACACTGCTTCATTTACTATTTTCAGCCAACAAATAGTTGAAGAGCCTCTGCAGGAGAGATAGGCAGACTTCCTAGCATGGGCTGTAGCCAAGCTGCCTGCAAGAGGAATAATCAGAGTATGTTTTCTGTCTGCACCAACCTAGTCCAGTAGCACAGCACCTCGATACCTACAGACCTAGCCTGGGAGGGCCAGTGCTGACCTGCAGCTAAAAATCCTATCTAGATAGAAGATGCGTCACTGTGGTCTATATGCCACAATGCTGGGTTAGGCAAAGACCAGTCCAAGTGTGAAAACAGGAAAATGCAGAGAGCAGCCTTGCTAATAGGCATTCTCATGCATTTGAACACTAGGACAAAGCACTCAGCTAAGGGCAACCTAAATGAACCTGCTCAAACCAAGCACAGTTAATGAATTCTGACTCCCTATTAGCCCCAACTAACATGGAATGGGGAGACACTCCATAGATCAGAAAAAAATGCTGAACCTACTTTTCCCACTATCTAAGCATCATCCCCATTACTCTGAGTAATTGGGAACTCGATCTGAATACACAGATTTGCATATGTGAATTTTAAAATGAAATGTGTATTCTAGTGACATCATTGATACAAAAATGAAAATAAGTATAAACTCCCAAAGAACACAGAGAGGCATGGAGAAAGAAAGTGACAGAATATATGTGCTTTATGCATAGATCAGAACTACAGAAACTGAGAAAAGCAAGTTGTTGTGGAATGTCTACCATATCTGCCCATTTTTAATATATTCTCAGAGCAGTAGAAGGTACAAATGGCTCATATTTTGTCATATATTTCTAGCTGATGGACTCCAATTATAAAACTTATACTTTCCTCTACCACATTCAAAAGACAGGACTGAACAGAATATTCATCATTCTATATTGTTTTAGGTATATGTATATTTTACATATTTTACATTAAAAAAATGTGGCAATGAGAGAAAAGTTGAAAACCTTTTAGGATATATACAGTAAATGAAACAATAATGGATGATGCCCATGTAATGAAACACATGTTTCCAAAGTAATAAAAGTGACTTATTTTCACTGTTTTCTAAACAGACAAAATCCATTTTTCAAACCTATATACTTCAAAAGGCAATCAAATCATTGTTTGGCTATACATTCATCTCTTCAAAGGAAAATATTAGAAAGACAATTCATTAGCTAGATCAACTACTGTTTTGAGACTTATACTTGCCTTGGAACACAGAAAATTCAAATTTGCTATTGGTCTGTTTGGTGACCTTACACAAACTACCTTTTTCCTTTCCACCTCTTCCTACCCAGAGCATGAAAATATAGTATTGATCACCTTGAAATGAAAGGTGCAACATGAATTATTAATGTTAATAAGAAAGAATTATTGCCATTATACTTAATTGTTTGGGTCTTCTGTAGCACATGTTGTCAGCAACCTTAACCTTTCAGAACTGAACACACAAACTCTATCAAACACCTGCCACTCCTGTATCTGTTTCTGCTCTAACATAAATAGTTTCTGGGGAAAACTAGGAAATATAAGAATTTTTGTGAGGAGCTGATGATGATTCTTTTTACTGGGATTATTTTCAAGAATGGATTTTATGGTATATTTACCACACAAGGTAACTAGCTGACTGACTGCCTTTCAGCTGCCTGTTTACCAGCTACCGAACTGTAGTTTTAAACTACTCATAAAACAAATTCCACTCTGGCTCCAAAATATCTCCGTTCTTCAGTTCCATATACAAGGACAGAGAGTACAGTCCTAATTTCAGAAACATTCACAATGTAACACAACTGGGATGAAAAAGGAGGCCATAAGTACATTTCAGTAGAGAAAGCATATAAGCTAGCTGGCTCCAACAAAACATTGAACTACATGGCAGAAACACCAAATTCTCTGACACCATGGAAAAATGACAAATTACTTGGGTGTGGACTTGCTGGGGACTTGACTAAGATAAATTAGGCCATCTACATCTCACAGAGCTTTTATTTCAGGAACAGCTGCTTGAAATTCTTCCAAGCGCTTTTAGTCAGAACATTGCCTTTTTTTTTTTCAACAGGCACACTTTTCAGGAATAATTATTCTCCTTATTAGAAACCCTTCAACTTTATAAAGTTTTCCTAAATACCAGGAAGAAAGAAACAACATGGCTCTTTCTGTCTCTAAGCCGTGTAACATGCCTCTGAAATTTGAAAGATCCTAGCCTGATTTATTCTTATTCACAACAATTTGCAACATTAGGACTCATTACTAAGCCATATTCCCCTCCATTTCTTCAGTGTTCTGGATCTTTGTCAGAATCTCTTGTTCTTTTAATATGCATAAAAAAATATCAATTGGAACTAGAACTTCAGTGTTTCCTCCTTGAGAAAACTAGCCATTATTGCCTAAAATACACAGGCAGTTTTGTAGATAGGTGTATTTTCCAAGTATTGATACAAAACAAAACTATTCTAACTTCTGTGTAAAACTATCCATTCTATCATATCTCACAAATATCTGGGTAGGGCATTCTTTTCTCAAAGACACAATAACGGCATCAAAATCCTAAATCTAGCATCTTTACATCTGTAGCACATTTTTTTGCAAATTTCATCGCAGTTATGCAAGAGAATGACTATATCAAGATACAAAAGATACTGGCATACAACAAGCTTCCAAATCTGTAGGTTAAGAAAATTTAAATGAAAAACACATGGGAAAAGTTGCTTATAGTATTTTAAGTTACAAATCCCACTCTGTATCTTTCTTTCAAACCAATACTTCTTACATTTAAAAGGCAGTGGTTTGTTACAGTTTGCTGGCAGGTTTTGGCATTCTTTTTTATTGAAAAAAATGGTGCAATATAAATAATTATCTTAGACTGATAGGTAAAAAAACTCCTGAAAAAATATTAACTATTGATACAAGTTACTTATTTTTGGAAGGTGAAGACTAGAGTGTTTGGTACCAAGTGTTCTAAAAAACCATTTTCCTACACAGAGGTTCTTTATATAAGCTACTGAGCCCTGACAAAAGGAATCTAAGAGATGCAATATCTGAACAGACAAGAGTGGCTGTGTAAATTATAACTTTAGACTGGAATTATTATAACAATTTTCAAAGGGCAATTTTGCTACACAAAAGCATTGTCCTTGTATTTTTTAAATGAATTCTCTGAGATTATATATGGTAGATAAACTACCAATGTTTTTCATGAAGGATGCTTAAAACACAGCCTGAAGCAAATGGAAGAACTGTAAGTATTTCTGCAGAACTGTATCAGAGAGTTAGAAAACATGAACAAATACCTTATCAGCACCACTGGTCTGTATTTTGCAATCTGTAATTAAAAATTTTATTCTTGTAGGCTCCATTTTCTAGGTGTCATTGTTTATGAATCATACACAAGATTATCAACTTGTTTCACCCTAATCAAGTGTATATTCTCCTATTCACAAACCACTCACATAATAATTAAATGCTATCAGGTATTATCAAAACTTGGAGGTAAGAACCTCCATAACAATGACATTTTCCAACACAGAATGACATTGGGTTTTAAGATACTGTCATTTTTCCTGCATAAGAATGTCCAAAAAAATTAATGAATACCTTGTTAAAAATAAATTAAAGAGCCTGCATGGAAAAATGTTACAGAAGGATGTGTCTTTTAATTTTGATTCATTTTCTGCTTTGCTGCACCTTATTTTCTCAGATATGGCAAATAACAAAAAGTAAAGCTAATATATGTACTTACTTGTGATAAAATGGGAAGTTGATGGTGATAAGTTACTGCATTTCAATTAGCCTCCATGAAGTACCACTGGGTTTGTCTCCTCTCCCAATCCAGTTTCTTCTCCAGCATGAGATGAGAGGTGGATAAAAACTCCAGATATTTCATCATCACATGAGGCAGAAGACTTCTACCATGTCTGGATGTGCCTCTCCATCAGGAGTCAAGCAGCTACAGGAAAAACATTCTCTATTTACTTGTTTCTTTTCCACCACTGAATTTCTGCCCTGGTATTTATGGACTTATGCCAGCCAGCACTGCTCCCTCATCCTGCCTGGGATAGTTTGATGCTGGGCAGCTTTGGTGCTGCCACACCACAGCACAGCCTCCAGCATCAGCTGGAACAATTATCCTTGACACTGACCCAAACTGAACTGCTACTGGGAACTGTGGCTGTGCACTCCCAGACACACTCAGGAGTGCCTGGGGCCTTCTCCTGGGATGGGGGAGATGGAGTCAGCCTTGGGGGATTGGGTTGGCATTATTTAATGTCTTTATTAATGACCTAGATCATGGGAGAGAGTGCATTTTCCAAAGGTTTGTGAACAATGAATTAATTGCAGGGATACAGGGGCAGGGCAGTTGTCAGAGGGACCTGGACTACCTATTCTCAGATCTGATTGCTACCTGCATAATGGGAAGGCATGGCCAGATCCTTCTCAGGGGTGCACAGTGTTAGAGCAAGAGCCAAGAGACATAAGTTAAACCACAGGGAAGTCTGGATAGATGCAAAATTTATTATTATTATTACTATTACTTTTAATCACAAAGGCAGACAAACATTACAGAGGGCCCAGAGAAGTTGTGGAATCTCCATCCTTCAATACAAAACTGGCACAGACAAAACCCTGAGCAGTGAGCAACCAGATCTAATTGTATCTGCATTGAGCAGGATGGACTGGACTCTTCCAGGGGTCCCTTCCAATCTAAAATACTTTAACAGGCCTATGTTAAAGGCACCCTAGGTAGCTGTTTAGTAATGGTAATAATGTATTATTAGGTCTATTTTTAAATCCCCAAAATATTTTCTGCAGTGTATGCAATGTAGGACAGGAAAGCTGCTAGGGACAGTTGTGCATGTACTAAAAAGTGTCTTAAATCTGTTAACTCCAATGAATCTTGTAATTTACTATGATTTACTTGCACAGCACCATTGACCTGCTAACACAAACATATAACCCAATACTCTTCTTCAAAGAAAATGTAATACAATGACTTTTGATTTGTACAGCAGTTCTTTCTAAGTAAAACACAACTGACACGCATAGTAGCACTTTTGAAAATGCTTTACAATGCTTGAACTTCTTGATTTTAATATTTTTGTTTAAATTTGCTTAAATGTGTTGATTAATTTCACTAATTTTCATAACTTTAAAAATATTTTTTACTTTAAATTTTGTATTTATTTTAAAGAGGTGCAAGTTTTCACCCTTAAAAAATACTTTGGCTTAGGGTTTTCTTTTGATTTTTTATTTTAATTCAGTGAAACTGGCAAAAGTTCCAAGACCAATGGGAGCTGGAAGAGATTTTTAATAAGTCCTATATCCATTTCCCATGCATCTAAAAATTATTTATGACTAAACACCAAGTAGGTTGATGTTCAACTCTGAAGGTTATTATATGGCTATGATTCCAGAATAGAATCCATAGCCATACTTTCTTTAGAAGCTTAAAACAATAAAACTATTTTAATTGCCTATTTTAATAACAATACTAAAGAATAGTAATGATAACACTAAATGAAAATTTAGAGCTGCAACAAGAAGTTTTCGATAGTTCTTCAAATCATTATCAAGAAATTATTTTTTTACTTCCAATATTCATCTTTGAAACGTGTTCTGTTTTAGTCATTTGAAAATAACATCTTATCTGTTAATGTTTCCTCATCTATATAACTAAAATCTCATTATTACTGCTTTTCTTTAATGTTTTTATTTTTTCTAAATAGCTCACAAAGCATAAGCAAAAACCTAAACATAACAAATCATTTAAGATTTAACCCATAGTAAGAGATATTATTAAAAACAATAACCCCCAAAAATTACCCATAACAGAAAAACTTTATGCCTCACATTGTTAGTAAAATATGTAGAAAAATTCTTGTGTAATGTTAAGATTTTAATATTTTCATTAAAATTCATTTCAGAAACTCTTAAACTTAAATGTTAGTTCTATTAGCGCCTGTACTCTCCATTGTTGTCCTTTATCCACAAGGTCTTTAAGTAACAGAAACCTTTCTGTACACTAAAACATACTATAAAAACCTTAGTTTATAACCTTACACAAACCTTTTTTGTAACATACTTTTTAGAGACAGAATTTAGTATCTGAATGAAAAAGTATAAGCATTTTTGTACTAAGTGTTTTGGTTTTTTTTCTAAAATGGAAAAATCAAGGGAGCTAACTAAATCTCTAATTCACTCTATACTTTGCCTTACACATTACATTATCTCCAGCAAGATATAAACATAGCTAAGAAATTTGTGATGAGCAAGTGTAGCAAGTACAGGCTCATCTTTTCCTCTATTGCTTTGTTACCTCTGCAGCTGTGCAAACAGAATTATAAGGTAATGAAAAACATATTTCTATCAGTCAAATAAACAGAAAAAACTATGAACATGATCATACAGTGATCTATAAATAACATATTCTGATGGGGTTATTTCCTTGACCACAATCTGCATTTGAAAATTACTCAAATTATGGATTTTTATTGGGAAAAAAATGATGTACAGGGAATTAAGTACAGCACTGACACCTTTAAATGTAAATTTCAGTACTGAATATAAAGGCTATACTGGCTAAATGAATGCCCTGATTATACTGGTATGAGTTTTCCAGTTGCATGTGTGCAGCTATATTTTACATGTTATTACTGGTGTGAGGAGATAGCTCTGTTTTTCTTTAAATCCAAAGATATTTCCTATTCAGAGACAAATACTGGCAGTTGCTTAAGTCTGCAAACTGTCACATTATCTCTGCTGGAAGCATACAAAACAAAAACATCTTTAGAGCAGGATGTTGAAATAAAATGAGTAATTACCTCTTAATGGTAAATGAGACACTTTTAGAGTACAGTCCTTCTGGCACAGGTTCATACACAGCCCCTACTATCTGCAAAATAAAAAAAAATCTACAGTTTGTTGAAGAAAAATACTCCAGTATTTATTTCAGCATCCAGTATGGTAAGTGTTGTCCCTTGAAACTATCTGATGAGCATTACATCACCAGCTCTAACTTGCAGAACAACTCAGATGCAGACTGTCTCTTTCAGTCAGGTATCCACATCAGTGTACTTACTGTAGGTTAAAGTGCTACAATATTGAACATTTACAAGCAATTTTTGCAATTAGAATGGTAAGACAGCAATTCATGCAATGATAAACACTTGTGCTTGTTCACAAGCCACACACATTAGAGCTGAGAGCAGTTTATGTGTCAATAAACTTAAATATAAATTCTCTTGGATCATGACAACACATGCAGAAATAACTGGAGGTTGATCTGGAAAATGTGGATACCTCAGTTGCCAAGGAGGGCATATTGGTGCTGTAAACTGGTGGGCTCAGAGTGGCCATCTGTTCAAGGATGCATCCTGCAGCCCAGACATCAGCCTTCCCTCCATACAGCTCACCCTTTACAAGTTCAGGACTAGGGAGAAAGCAATGCAAGCCACAAGTGTTTTATTAATTCCCCTAGAAGTAGGCTTATTTTCTTAAAAAAAAACAACCAAACAAAAAACAAACAAACAAACAAAAACCCCCAACTCACCCAATATTTAGTTACTCACTACAACATAATTACACACACAATTACATTCAAAATGTTGCATGTGTCATTCACCAGCCAAATTCTTTAAGGGGAAGTACAATTAATAGATTTTCAACTTCTGCTGCACTTTTTCTCACAAGACCAGGGGTTTACATTTTGTTCACTTCTCCTTTCCACTCACATTGTCTTTGGACTTACTGGACATGAACTACAGCATTTAGAACAAGTTTACAATGATGACATTTCAATAAAACAGACTAGAGAACAGATAATATGGCATCTCATCTCATAATTCAGATATCAGAAAGATTGACTACAACTACGCTATTTCGAATGATAATTGATATAGTTTTGCTATTAATGTAAGTAAATGAACTTGACTCATTGTATCATTTTCATCCTCTTAAAACTACTGTAATGCATTCCTTGTGAGGATGTAACATGCACACTCAGCAGGCAGCCAAATGATAATACAAAAAAACATTGTAAAGTTACTTTTAAAGAAAATGGAAGAAAGCAGTAATTTTATTTTGATGCAGTACAAAACAGAATTTATTTCCTTTGTTTAACTTCCTCAGTGCAGTGCTTTTCATGAACCTGGATGATAACAATTTACACTAATAGGTGTGTTCTGTGTTGGAGTTCAAGTCTTAGCAGTAAGTAAAGATCATATCACAGAATGTGTTTGATTCTTTTTTCATTCAGAGATATAGAAAAATACTTGACTTCTTTCATCTGTAAAATTAATTTGAAATCCAACTTGTTTACCTTTTTCCTTCAGCTTAGAATTTGGAGCCACTTTTTCTTCATAATTATAGTACTGATATCTGGTAAAATGCCTTATTTTGGTGCTCAGAGGTACTGTGTAAATTCAATTAATGATGCTGGAGGATATCCTGCTGTTATATACAAAATGCAGATTTTGAAAATATATGGGATGAGGTCCCTAGACAAAAGATAAGATTAATTACGTGAACTTTACCATAGAAAGTCAGAAGAGAGGTCACAGTGCAGGGAAGTGAGAGGGACTGACAGGTCACACTCTCCTGATGAAATTATCAAGCAAGATACAGATTCTTGGGTCAAATCTAATAAGCAATTTTCTTTGAATCTTGCTGCTGCTGTTACATAATTACAGAGTGGGTATTGAATGTTGTTTTAGGACATAACAGTATTTCTGTAATCACACTGTCTGGGACACTAATTCATTAGATGTCTTTGTGAAAATTTCCTTTTTGTGTATTAAAAGTGTCTACTAGCAAACATTAATACTGCGACTTATCATAGAGATGGTGAGCTCAATAAGGCAAAGCCCCTATCTTAGTTAAGTTCTAAGCATGCTCCTAATCAGAAAAAAAATCTGAATTCAATTTTAGTCTTTGTTCTAAGGATAATTTTCATCCACAGAAAGATCAACTTAAAAATGATTATTTTACATTATTAATTTAATTAAAATACCAAACTGAGATTATTCAAGCCAAATTTAAGTAACTATGGAAAAAGCTGTGTAGCAGCCACAGAAAGAATAAGCTGAATACAATTGAGAGAGAAACAGAGGCAACCATGTCCTGGCCTACAGTATCTTGATTCCTGAAGATTTTTCCAGAGAAAAATCTTGCCTGATGTCCAGAGCAAACAGCAGCCCATCAGCTGGTGACATGGAAAAATCATACTATGATTTGGAAATCATAGAAAGAATACAGTGCTGACAGGGTTATAGTTTTAGCATGGTTTCACACAAAAGCACAGTAGCTGAAAGTTAATGAAGTCATTTGTTCTGTTTATTCATGCTGAAAGATTTCTTGTTCTAAATGCTTATCTAATCCCTCTTTTTTTTTAATCAAAATGACTTGTAGCAGAATAGTGTTTGATCTTTTCTTCCAGAACAAATGTCTTAGTCAGAAATCTCAGATATTGAGAACATTAGGATGACCAACACCTTAAAAAATAGTCTCCTGCTTAAGAAGTACTTTAAATTACTGAAGCAATGTTTATTTAATGTGTCCATGAAACTTTTACAGAAAATATAAATCCCCTACTTATATGATGCTATGCTTTTGTAGCTAATTAGTTCTGTAATTTAGATTTTTATCTAGGATTTTCAAATGTTATTTATTTACTTTTCAAGGGACGTAGTAAAATCCATCACCGTGTTCTACAGGCTTGCCTCACCATCTGCTAGTTAGAAATGTGGGTGGGGTACAGTAGCTGATTAGCAAAACAGTTCTGCAGTCAATTTGCACGTTTTGGATCCCCAGTGGCAGGGATGCCAAGCAGAGAAAGTACCCAGTTCTTGTTCCTGTACACTGCCACCCACCAACAGGAGCGTGGTGGGAGTACATTTGGTTTGCCTAATTCAGATGACAAATGTCTATAAACTGTCTCTGCTTGGTCAAGACCAGAAAGAATATGTGGAACCAGTCTTACTCACAAACACTGAGAATATAAGCATTAGTATGACTTTTTTATTATTATTTGTAAAGGCAGTACTCATCCTTTAACTTTTAGCTGAAGATAACTCAATTGACTGAAACCAGATAGCAGTACTAATTAAATTTTTAGCAAACAGATGTCTACATCATAAAATGCATTTAAAACAGAATACAGAAAGGGGGAGCCCCTAAGAGATTATGAAGATTTTAATTTCCATTGCTCCAAGGGCTGAGCTTACTGCCACTAAGCAGCAGTGCTGATGCTATTAGCCACAGCTACTAGAAGTGGCAGCATGTAATTCTTGCAGCTAACATATTCAAGATAATAGCTCTAAGATATTTTTCATCTAATAGCTCAAGATAATTTTCATCTAAGTTTGCAAATCACTGGTGATTTCCAACTTACATATTCAAGCTGAAAAAGCTTACTCCAGCATCATTACATTAAGTATAAGAGAGTCCTTCACTAAACAAATGTCCATAGCAAATAAAAGACTAAATTCTTTTAAATGAAAGACAGAATTATATCCACAGAATAACCATCCAAATTCTCAGCATCCTTTAACAGAAAATTTTATAATTGTTTCTTAGAAAGGTCAACATACTAGCACTGCTTTTATTCTTAATAATAGAATCATCTGTGACCATGGCCTCAAAATGAGCCACTGCTTAATCCAAATAGCTGGTTTTCCTTCTGAACTCCTTTTCACAAAATTAAGCAGCTATTTTAAATACATGTTTCCCATACTACAGCACACTTATAATTAGGAGGTTTTTTTAAAAAAGAAACAATAATAACCAAATCTTGTCAGTATAGCGCTACTTGCAAAACATCAAACACATTAACACATTTAATCAAATAACATCTACGTGGCCTTGGAGATAGTTTTGCCATCAAGCTTTCATTTATAATTTTGCTTAGTGATGTTATTTTACCATTGCTTTTCTTTAAGAGCTCTTTTAACAGAGATTTAAACAGACTGTATCCCAGTCTGCTACATTTGCATGACCACACAGCTATATGAAAGATTACTATCCTCACTAGATTAGCTTCTGTCCACATTAGTTATTAGTGGACAGAAGTGCCAAAATTAAAAAAGAAGTCCTAAATTTGGAGAGGAAGGAAAAGAGGAGATGAGGGAAAGATGTTTTCAAAACAGCATTAATTTTCTAGAACCTCTAAAGCTTCTAAAGAACATTATCAATACTTTCAGGCTGACTTTACATGGGACACTACCAGTGAAGATTTCCCAAGCTGCACAGAACTTCAAAGAGCCACTCATGACTTATCTTGGTGCAGTGTTCACCGGTGCTTCCAACAGGTGTGGGAACACACTGGTATGTGGCATTCTGCAGTAGGAGGGGCACTTTTAAATGAGACTTGGTTTCAACTGGACAGTTAGGAATTCATGAAAACAGCAGTGATCCTTCAAGACTGACTCACAGAGAAGGTGGTGGTTATAGTGAAAGGAAAACAAAGAATCATCTGCCAGTGCTGAGGATTTTAACAATGACAGTTATTGTCTTTAGTCTTTAACATAACTCCAATTCATTACTTAAACTTTGATGGAGAATTCCAGCAGTAGGTATTAGCTATAAAAACACTCATGCCTAGAAACCATAACTATTTCAGGAAACAATCCAAGCTGAAAATAACTGGAAAGTAGCAAAGAATCCAATATGCTTATCCCATTCTTCTTTATTGGGTTTTTCCCACTGTTGGAGACAGGACAGTAGGAGAGACAGTAGACAAGCTTGCCATACACTGATCAATGGGGGGTTTTTGTTTCCTTTAGTCCCAATGCTAAAAGAGTCACTGCAGCTTCTATTTACTTCAGGTAAGTCGATATCCTTGTTAAAATAGCAATATAAAAATACTCACTTGCAATGGATAGCCTTACTACTTGCTGGCAGGACTCACCAAAGCAAAGCAGAGAAAAGGATTTTCACAGTTTGTACCTATGACTGCCACAATTAAAATGAGTATTATAAAAATGAAACCTGCTGCTCCCTGGCCCAGATAAATGGGGATTTATCCAGTAGTGCCTTGAAAATCTTCAGAGGTAAAGACTACACAGCCTCTCATTTCCATATTTGACTGTTACAAGTAAGAAAAAAAATTTGCATATATCAAGTTAGAATCTCTTTCAATTTATGTCTATTTTCTCAGAAAAGATCCAAGACCACGAATTGTGCAGTGCAACAAATGAGAAAATGCTTGTATTTGGACAGCATTTCTAGGTTTTTACTAACCCATTTTACCAAACTACTGCAGGATAATATGTGAGTATTCAGAGACCACTGCAAAAAAAACCCTACATTTACTCTAGAATCAGTTCTCTGAGTCACAGAAAGAGAGAGGAATAATGCAAGAAAAAGGAAAAAAAAACCAAAGAAACACCACCAGCACAATCCCAAAATGAAAAATAGAAAAGCAGTTGCTGCATATCACAATTTTTCTCTGGATAGTTTGCTGCAAGCTACAGATACACATTCATTACCATAGCTTCATAATTACCACTAAAACCAATGGAAGAAGAAACAGGAGCCACAAAACTGACAGTTTGAATAAAGAGGTCCTGTGAATAATGCTGAAAGCTATTTGCATTTCTCACCCACATAAAGAATTCAACACAAGCCTTTTGGGGATAGTCTGTCTATCCCTTGAGTGATGAAGCAGGAACAGGATTTTCAATCACTAGTTAAAATTTTACCTTCACAGTTTTCTATTTTGAAATGGAAAAAGTATGGTCAAGGAAGTCTATAATAATTTATT